AGAAGCGCTGGACTCGTCCCTGCATGACTTAATTTAAAGTACAGCTTTGTGTTAGGAGGCTCAAAGTCTCAGAGCTCATCACCACTACATCATCATCATCATCATCATTATTATTGTTATTATTATTATTACAAATATGTATGTTTATTCCGACACAGAGTTCAAAGAGATTTTAGAAACAGTCAGTTTTGAGTCTGAACATAACTCTCCTCGCGTGTTCCTGTGTTTTTATTCCTGACGTTGTTTCTGATTCTTTCACACGAGACAACAAGGCTCAATAATAAAGTTTGTTATTATTATTATTATTATTATTATTGTGAAGGTGGGGCATTCATACAGCACTCTGTACTCTGTCAGTGATAATTTTTACATCATGGAGACAAGAGCATGAGGATGAAGATCTATACGCGATAACAGGAGGGTAATCAGAGGAAAACAAGACACAGCTGACCTGACTCATGTGACCAGATAAGAGGAAGCAAAAGTGAAAGCAAGACACCCGTGATGTATAAGTATAAAGATAAATGGATAAACACACATAAAGGAAACATAAAAAGTGAACAAACAGAGAATAAAGACATGAAATAAAGACCAGCAGGAAGTCTTCAAAGAGGTGTCATAGAATCAAATGGGTTGGAGCTGTGGCAGCCTTTAGGATCTTTTACTCAGTTTAATTATCTTTCAAATCTCCTTTTTAGTTTGACGATCAAATATTGAGGAAGGAGTAATTTGGACTTTGGATGTAAATTTTTGTAGATCATTCAGTGTTTTATGACCAGAATCTGACCTCTAACAGTCAAATGGAAACAGAAAGTAAAAATGTGTCTGTTTGACTCTTAAGTTAACAAATCATCTGAAATCCCCTGGTTATTAGTTATTCTCTGAAATAATTTCAAAATAAAAGACTTTATGGTAGGCCTGTTCGCATGCATGATAGAAGTTATACAGGGATATAAACAAAATATATTTTTATAATAAGTGTTATGATATAGTCTGCCAATCATCACTTTACACAGTATTTAACATCTTCATTGGTAACTCAAAGGACATAAATATAAGATAGTTACACTACTATGCCCTCTGTTTGTCAAATTTAAAAGAGAATTCATTGCAAAGCCATGAGAAATAATTCAGTCTAAGGCAGAGATCAGCGGACTGTTTACCACAGACAGAGCTCTTTAGCTCCTCCCTCCTCCTCCTTTATCAGCCTGTAGCAGCTCTGTGTCGTTGGCAGTGTGAAGGTTTTACACTGTTAGTCCTAATTTACTTGTGATATAGTTGGGATTCCTGCATTAAAAGTAGAGTGTAGCTATGTGGGTTGTGCTACTGTAGTCTGTAGAATAGAAAAAGATCTGGATACAAAGCGGTGTCAGTACAGTAACAGTGGAAAAACAGGCTTGGATTCTCCCAGATCTTCTCTTCCTGGATACTGCTGATTTACAGCTTCCCAAATACAGCTTCTAATCTACTCGGTGAGTACTAATGTGGACACAGTAGTACTCACCACAGTAGTGTATATACTACTGTGCTGTTTGAACTGCTGCTCTGATCATGTGATACCAGAGCCTGTATAAACCAGTGGACTGTGGAGGGTTAGAGTGATATCCAAACACTGAAACGGGTCAGACCTGTCTGTGTGTGTCAGTGTGCTAGTAAATCTGTTTAGACTTGAAGAGGTTAAAATAAAGAGAAGTATGATCAGAGAGCTGGTTTTATATTGTGTGATTCCAAAGTTAGACTGAAGCTGCTGACACAGTTCAACTGTTCCCTCCCAGCTCAGATCTGACTGTTACACCCGAGTATCTGTAAGTGCATGTGCACACAGTTCTTTGCTAAAAGGTAATTGCATGTAGTTTTCTATGTGTAATATTTCTGTGGAGCTCCATCACACTCACTCTCTCCTCTGAACCAACCCTCATCTTTGTGGGGCTGTTGTCACATCATGGCTGGGATTGTTGCTCTCTGGAATTGGAAT